GCAACAACAACAACAACAACAACAACAACAACAATATACCCATTCATTGATTCCCATTTACAAAAAAGTGCACCCACAAGGTGGTTTCTGGGGATGAGAAATTCAACAATCAAGGCCTGGACTATGATCGTGACAGTGGTAGCAAACATAAAAGCACGGCTGAGCTTCTGTTAGGGCGATGGAAACATATGGAAATGATAGTGGTGACAGTTAAACAACGTGGTGACGGTCCTCAATGTCACAGTTGTACATGTGACAAATGCTGGAATGGCAAGTGTTCTGCTCTAAACATACTTAACAAGACTTTTTAAAATAAGGAAAAAAATGCAGGTATGGATCTGAAAGGTTTCATGACTTAAATGATAGAAAGAGCATCAATTTCCCATTAAAAACATTTTCCTGAAAGAGATGGTTGTAGCCCCAGGTAGAGGAGTAGGTGGAGTCCAGGCTGACTACTGGTAGCTACAAGCAGCCCAACTACAATGAAGGGGGCCAGGATGGAGACCAGTCAATGCTTGGGGTTGGGCCAGCCAATGTTTTGTTCTCCAAAAGATGCAATACCTCTCAGGACTAGTAAAAAGAAACACAGAACCCACTAGACTAGGACTCAGAAATTCCCAAGAGGAGACAGGCTGGAAGCAGAGGAGGAGGAAGCAGCAGGAGAGGGAGAAGAAAACAATTTTTTTCTGTAGAAACTGTGCTTCAGATAGTAGAGTAATAGTCATTGCTGAGAGAGTATCTAGAAATATGGAACCCATATCAACAAAGGAGATACGAAAGTTGAACCCACGGGAGCCATGAGCCCCCACCCCCACCCCACCCCGGAAAAGATGTAGCTGAAGTTTAGAAGGCAGGATAAGAAGAGATGCAGGAGTTCAGAGGAGTTTTAAGGAACTGTCCGATGGAATGGAGTGGTTGAGGACATTTCTTCATGCATAAAAAGCTTTTAAGAAAAATTACGCACATATGAGAATATGTGCTCAACCAAGGTGACAGAAAAACCCCGTATGTGAAGAATTATGCGTGATTTTTATGGAATAAGTGAAGGAGGACACAGAAACAACAGGCCACGTGACATAGCCCTACCACGGCAGCATTAAAGCGCGACGCAGATTTAACCCACAGAAAGTTATTAACCGGCCTTGCCCATCTGCAAAACAGTACAAACATGCCACGCCCCGAAACCCAAGCAACCGGACCTTTCTTTTGCCTCTATGTATCTTGCTTTCTCTGGTACTGTTGTATAGTTCTACTGGCCAATCTAGCAAACTTTGCTTTGCTGAAATGTATGAAATGTTTTCTAATTTTTCACTCAAAAGGGTTTAAACCAGCCGTTCTCAACCTGTGGGTTGCGACACCTTTTGGGGTCAAACGATTCTTTCATGGGGGTTGCCTAAGACCATTGGAAAATATATATTTCAGAATAATATTTCACAATATAAAATTATATATTGTTTGTGATGAATCACTATGCTTTAATTATGTTCAATTTGTAACAATGAAAATACATCCTGCATATCAGATATTTACATTATGATTCCTAATAGTAGCAAAATTACAGTTATGAAGAAGCAACAAAAATAATTTTATGGTTGGGGGTCACCACAACATGAGGAACTGTATTAAAGGGTCATGGCATTAGGAAGGTTGAGAACCACTGGTTTAAACTGAGAAATTCCAGCTGTAGTTAAATCAACTGTTTTTGAATTAAGCCCAATCCAAAGATCTCTAATTAGGACACACAACACACACACACACTCTCATATATGTCGTCCCGTATGTTAACATTCTATTGCCATCATAGCACCTGCCGGTTACACGTACCTGGTCAGATGTGACCGTTGATTATTATTGTTTTTTATTACTAAAAATTCTTTAGAAATTACCCTAACATTCTCTGCTTAAACTAGATGTCACATTTTTGATGGCTCTTACAAATGTACATGTATGTTTAATTATATATTTATGTATATGCTTTAGATGTAGGAATGCTAGATTTAAGAGAGCCTCTATGGCTTAGTTCCTACTATGATTATTTAAGTGGAAAAAATAGTCACAACACACTGATTTAAAATAAAAACAAATTAATGGGAAAAATAAGTTGATGTTTTTCATTGACATTGTGATTTGGGGGGTGGGCAGAGGGGAGGGGGAAAAACCTGTGATTTTTAACAGGAAAGAAATGAGATCAGAATTAAGGAAAATTATTATATTTAATATGGTAGGGGAGAGGAAGAAACAAAAATTATAGACATCAAAAGGGTTATGATGATCAGGCAATAACCCGAAAAATGTTTGGACCAGGAACTAATCTTAAGAGCATGTGGGTCTCTTAGCAAATGCTCTCTCCATTCCCTGTTCCTTGACCGTACCCAGCTCTCCAGCCCTGGATAAAGCCTCTTCATCCTCCAAGAGGAAGCTCAGGTGGCACTGGACACAGGCAGACTCGGGCTCTCTGGAGTCCACAAACATGCCCTCTGGTTCCCGTGTCACAGTTAGTGTTGGCTTAGCCTCCTTCCCCGCTAGACTGCAGCTAGTCTAAGGCAATGCATCCCAGCATTATTCATCTTTTGATCATCTCCTACACACTATACAGGCAAATAGGCCCTAAAATGTTGAGAAGCAGTATCCCACCCATATGGATCGAAATATGGGTCTCCACCCTAAGGAAACGCCAGCCACTCAACATGCAATGCATTGAAGCAGGCAGCTTTAGCGAGAATTTGAACCCTGACAGCGGCAAGTCTTACAACTTTATAGCCCAAGAAGCAAAAGTACTTATGTTTGACCAGTAGTTTCACACTTGCTACAAATAGCTGCTACAGCGTGACTCTGGTAGGAAGGTTTAAGTTAATATGCAAAAGTTCATTTATACAGTATTCAAACCGTAAACGGAGATACTTTCGTTCCAGCGCTATGAATTGCCATGGTAACTCCTCTATAAGGCATCTAATGGTACAAGGCCTGACCTGATGGGGCAGGGTGGCAGGGGGCACTACTCCTGGCACAGAGCCGAAAACAGAGAGAAATCGACAGCTAACAGCATAGTAATATGTCTCTTCCTGCTTCACAAGGTCTGCTTTGCCCTCTCCTCTCCGTTCTGGTCTGTTTGCCCAACCAACTGTGACTAGGGGGGAACGGGCCCTGTTCAGAACAGGAAGAGCTGCAGATGGCAGGGGGCTAAAGGAGAGGGTATGCCCTGCTGGGCGCACACAGCCCAGTTTTCCAGGAAGCTACCCACCTGCAGGATACCTGTCACGGACAGACAGGGAACGTCGGCCTTGGTGGAAAATCTAGGGACAGAGCCAGCTGGCTCCTAACAAGTCAGTAAAATCTGTAAAAATCTCAGTGGTTCAAAAACAATCAAACAAATAACCACAAAATCAAATCAAATGATCTTGTATGGAAATCACTGCAAGGGATAAAAATGGGCCTGCGTTAAAAGAATGTACACATCGTCAACAAACGTTTGGTAGCTATTCTGGTCTAGGCGCCATTCAGTTCCAGTGTGGTGGTTATATAATCGTCTGTCAATTTGAGAGGATTAAGAGAGAAGGTAGAGTCTAATCTGTCAATCAGATCATAGCTAATGAGGCCTCTCTGTGGGCATGGTGTTCTCCTGAGGATTCTGGGAACTCTGGTATTTCTCCTTGGAGGCGGGAGACACTCTCTCTCTGCTCACTCCCTGCGAGACATCCCTGTGGAGAAGTCACATGGAACTACTCTAGTGCCCTGAGCCAGAGGAGCCATGTAGAGACCCCTGCCAGTGCTGAGATGCTAACAATATCACTGGATCCACAAGACTTCCTTCCCACCTGCATTCGGCATCATTGCATGTGTTTTGTGAGTTTGAAGAGGACTTTATAGATTGGTATCGGACATATGGGCTAATATTGAACTGCTGGACTTGATCTGGACTGGGCTGGGCTGCTTTCTTAATGTACAATTACTCTTTATATAAAGCACTTTCTTATATACATATCAATGTCCATGAATTAGTTTTTCTAGTCTACCTGGACTAACACACCCAGATTTAAGAAACAACGTCAAATGGATGCAGATATTGCTGCTGGGCTCTCCATACAAAACACAGATACCTACAAGTTGCAATTGCTTTACAAAAGTTATGGGTCATCAACTGGAAAGATTTTCAGCAATCCAAGTAAGCCTTAGCAATACTTAGACGCTCCAGAAACACTGAGGCATGCTAACCAAGCATTTCATCTCTCTAAGGAAGATAAAGACAGAGCATTTTGTTTCAGCAACTTCGCGTACGTGAACACTGAAGTACAGAGGAGCTGGCCCCAGGATCCTTGCTCCATGACTGCTCAAGTTCTGAGTGTTTTGGTGTTCGATTTCTGGTAAGCTAGTCCAGGTGACCGTGGAAGAAATCCTGTCTGACCTAGCCTTCCACAAGGTGTTAGGCAATAAAAGGAAAACTCACTAGATCTTGGCAGCATGCCCATTGGTAGCACCATCTATAGATTCAACAGCAGCATCCTTACTAACATGGTGGCAGCAACTGCCCAGCAGTTCAGTGTCATGTAAGTTTCTTTCTTTCTTTTTAAATGAAAATCTTTATTTATTTAGTAAATTTCTACATTAAAAAAGAATAATAGGTTCACTGGCCCTTCTACCTTCCAAACTTGGTAATGTAATCACAGATATGTGATCCCTCCATATATCTGTAATTTGCTCCTATGACACATTAAACGGTGATTAATTGTAATACAAAACAAAAATTACTCTAATCCTGGGCCTGACTCCAATCCTACTGTTACGTAAAATTTAGCCCTATGTGTATATCTGGTAATAAATAAATTGTATTTCATGACACCTGCCACAAGCACCATTTTCTAACTCACCAAGGCACAGTAGAAACACAGTTAACATAGTGATGTCCATTTGCTCAATGTGAAATAGCCATCATGCTGCAGGGAAAACCCACACTTTAACCAGTGTCTCCGAGTGAGCAAACCCGAGGGCAGGGCTGGAGATACCTAGCTGTTTTTCCCGTTCCTCGCGCCGCTCCCGGGCCAGCCGCTGCCGATCATCAACCCGCAGCACAGGCGGCGGGTCTGAACAAAGAGAAAGAAGAACGAGTTAAGAAACAACAAACAAAAAACATATATACTGACATCCCACTGTGGTGAGGAGGGGTTAAGGTCTTAAAAACGTGTGACCCCATCAGGTTGATTCTGACTCATATCAACCCTATACAGGGTTTTTGAGGCTATAAATCGTTTTTTTTTCCATTTTAATTTTATCAAATTGTGTATTTTTAAAGATAATTTTATTGGGAGCTCTTACAGATATTATAGCAATTCATAATTCAATTAGATCAAGCATAATTTTACAATTACTGCCACCATACTTTTCAGAACATTTTTTTTCTTCTTGAACTCTTTGATATCAGGCCACCCCCCACCTCCCCCACCCCACCCCCCCGCCTCCCTACTCCTCTGGAACCCTTAATCTTACATTATAAATATTATTATTATTCATATCTTAAAAAAATCATTTTATTAGGGGCTCATACAACCCTTATCACAATCCATACATAAATCAATTGTGTAAAGCACATTTGTACATTCATTGCCCTCATCATTCTCAAAACATTTGCTCTCCACTTAAGCTCCTGGCATCAGCTCATTTTATCCCCTCTCCTCGCTCCCCCTTCCCTCATGAACCCTTGATAATTTATAAATTATCATTTTGTCATATCTTACACTGTCTGATGTCTCCCATCACCGTCTTTTCTGTTGTCTACCCCCTACCCAAGGGAGGAGGTTATATGTAGATCCTTGTCATCGGTTCCCCTTTCTACCCCACCCTCCCTCCACCCTCCCGGTATCGCCACTCTCACCACTGGTCCTGAAGGGATCATCCGTCCTGGATTCCCTGTGTTTCCAGTTCCTATCTGTTCCAGTGTACATCCTCTGGTCTAGCCAAATTTGTAAGATAGAACTGGGATCATGATAGTTGGGGAAGCCGTGAAAGCATTTAGGAACTAGAGGAAAGTTGTATGTTTCATTGTTGTTACACTGTACCGATTGGCTCATATCCTCCCTGCGAACCTTCCATAAGGGGATGTCCAATTGCCTACAGATTATTATCCTTATCTTACATCATTCACTGTATCCATTTCCCTACAATTCTGTTATTCATTCCCCTCGAGTGGGGTTATACAATCATCTTTACTATCGGTCCCCCCAAATCCCCCCAGGAAATCGCTACTCCCATTACTATTTCTGACAGGCTTATTTATCTTGGATTTCATGCATTGAATACATTATACATTATACAATCCCTGTCAATGTACTGCTGCAATCATTGTTGGATGATCTCAAGCAAAATTTTACTTGTGTGCGATATCAATGATATCGTTGTGTAGCTTGAGTACTCCGTTGGGCTGCCTTTCTTTGAAATAGGTGCTATATGGATCTCTTCCAGTCAGTTGGCCAAGCATTATAGTTATGCTCAATTTTCATGGTTGAGATTTTCATGTTGAAGAATTACAGCTTCCATAGGGATTATCACGTGAGTGTGAGAAATGAAGGTCCACTAGAATAAACTGAAGTCCTGGGACAGGGCAGCAGTGAACACGCTCAGTTGCTCACTCAAAGGCTGGAGGCTCAAGTCCCCCCAGCGGCCCCTCAGACGAAGAGCCTGGCAATACGCTTTGACCAAACCAGCTCTCGAAAGTTCCGTGGAGCACAATGCTACTCTGACTCCTCTGACTCCGTTCAGCCCGACTTTCCTTTCCTTTGGCGTCTCTCTCCATCACGCCGCGTGTACACGAGCAGTTTGAGATACATCCTACTGAGCAGCATTGCTGGACACCTGGAAGTAACTCCTCTGTCTACTCAACTGTTCCTATCATGTTTACAGAATGCTTGCTTCTCCATATTACCCGGTGGGAACAGACTATGAATTACAGAGTATTCAGTGAAATTACTGGGTAGGTGTAGGATCACTGAAAGGAATATTGAATAAAAACAGAATTCCTTCTCAGCTTTGTTATTTGTCAAGATTTTTAAAACTCTTTTTCAAAAAAATTAAAAAAGAGATGTGAAAGAATGCTGAATATACAGGTATACACAATTGGACCACATCTATCATTAGAAGCAGAAAGGTAAATTATTACCTCTTATACACTGCTTGACAGAAAACAAATGCATCTACCTATGCCATCTCACTGATGGCTAAAGTAATTTTCGGTGGTAAGCAGGGTCTCGATTTTGAACTCTGTTTTTAAGGACAGAGAAGGATGGCTTTAAGTGGTTCTCTGACTCAACAAACTCCTACAAACCCATGTGAGTGTGTGTTGCAGGAAGGACAGGAACCCAGCTCTCCCAAATTTTAGCTCTGTTGAATCTATAAGCCAGCAGCGTCCCTTTAAGAATAGCCTCCACTTTCCCTTATTGAAGCAATGCAGCATACCTGGCTTGTTTCCTGAGTGGTTGCTAGTTTGACCTGAAACAGCAGAGGAGGGGTGGTTGGAGGCAGGTGCTTTCTTATCTTGCACTTTGCAGCTGTCAGGAGCTATGTAAGACAGGAAAGAAAGAGAAAGGATGTGTTTAGTTTCCTAAAATATAAGCAGAGACTTCACTATTCGACATTTCGTGCCAATCTTTACCTTAAATACAAGGCCAGATTCGGGAGATGAGGTGGGTTCAGCCTTGCCCCTTAAGGAGCATTACAGGGCTATGGCAAAGACACAATCCTGTAGAAGGGTTTCCAGGGCCATGTGGGTCATTCAGGTTGGCTGGTCCCCATTTACATACGTATAAAGAAACCACCAGGAGGCACAACTGGAGTTCAGAGTCTCTGATCTCTGTTCTTACTTGGTGTGAGTCGCTAAAAAAATGCCACCAACATGATCCCTCAGGTCACCAAAGGGAGTGCAGAGGCATCCTTTCTTGGGATTGGAAAATGCTCTGGCAGAGGTTCAGTAGCAGAGACTACGAGAAGGAGGCGGGAGGCAAGTAGGATTGAATCCAGGCCACGCAGTGGCAACAGGCGAATGGGCGAAAGTAGGGGGTCCTCTAGGTCCAAGCATGTGTACCCCACACCCCTGCTTCATTTACTGTATTCCTAAAGGGAAATAGACATCTTTTGGAAAAGGATCCTCGCCATCGAATCAGGGAGAATGCCTCCTACCCCCGCCTTCAAAACAACTCTGGTCCGAAGCTAGCACACCAATGAGGCTTGTGCAGCCTTCCTTTATCAACAGCCAGAAACATTTACTTAGTTTTTGAATAGGAGCCATTTTAAAAGGCAGATACATTTCTTACACTCATTAAACGGTCTAAGTCCAGAGCAACTACAGGAATATTCTTTGTATAAAGCAGACTTATATGGGGTTCTGGCGGCATACCGGTTAAGCGCCCATCGCATAGCTGGAACGTCAGCGGTGTGAACCCACAGCAGTTCTGTTGGAGAAAGATGTGTAGTCTGCTTCGCTAAAGAAGGCAGTCTACACTTCCTCACAACAACAACAACAACAACAACAACAAACAAATTCACTGGCACTGAACTGATGCCGACTCATGCCCACACGGCAGTTCTATGCTGTCCTAGAGGATTGCTCCAAGTTGACGGCAGTGAGTCTGGTTTTGGTTAGTTTGAGAGTTACTCTTGACTCTTGACAACTTTTGACAAGATAGGGAGGATCTTTAGTACAAAGCCTTATTCCATATTCTAGATTATCTAATACTAGCCCACTGCCATCAAGTCAATACCGGCTCTTAGCGACCCTATAGGACAAGGTAGAACTGCCCCTGTGGGCTTCCGAGATGGTAACTTTTTATGGGAGTAGAAAGCCCTTTCTCCTGAGAAGTGGCTAGTGGTTTTGAACTGTGGACCTTTCAGATTGCAGTCCAACTCGTAACTACGATGCCACCAGAACCCTGCCCCTGTAAGTGGGAATCCATTTGATGGCAGTGAGTTTAAAGCTAACAGTGTTATGGACGTTCTAATGTTGAGACCACACCCATGCCAAACCCACACTGCACTATTTTGCAATTCCAACTATATGGATGCAACTATAGCCTAGTTATTCACAGTGACTTTCTCACCAGAGTGTGGGAATTCTATCTGATGATCATAAATTATAGGCTAGGGGAATTAGCTTTTACCTAGAACGCAGGCTCCATCTACTCAAGGCTTCTGAATTTGAAAGGATATGATGATAATCTTATTTCAGGGTGACTAACTTTAAAGCGCGTTCCCAAGATATGCTAAAAATTTTTTCTTAATTACTAAATTTACCGGCGGAACATAGAGACTAGGTCTTTGACCTCTGAATGGGTCATCACTAATTTTTATGGCCATCTTCTAAGTACATACAATGTGAGCCTGCATGGAAACAAATCACACAACTAGTAGTAGAAAGAGAATTATATAATCATTTTAATCCTAAGTATCCCACCTTCAATGGGTTTGTTTTAAACAAACACACAGATATTGTTGGGGCTGTTTCATCAACTTGAGCCTTTTCTGCAGGGGAAGAGCTGTAAGGAATCCAGCCGAGAACAGGCAGATGGCAAATCAAAGGCCAAGCAGCAAAAGGCCTCAGTGGGCAGTTCCTACAAGACGTTCCCCGGCACTTCACCGTGACTAGAAAAGGCTGATACCACCCGGCTGACCACAATCTATAGGTGGGGGGCGGGGGTGGGTGGGTGGGTGAGGGCCGAGGCATGCCTGACTGAGAGAGACAGCAAACCTCGAATGGCTTTACAAGGTTGTCATACATGTTTTCATCCTAGTGCCAAAAACAAGACCCCAGTTCCAACAGGAAGCAGGTGAAGCTCAGCTATGTGTAGTGACTTAGAGGCAGCCCGTGAAAAGACAAAAAAAGGGGGCTATTCTTAGAACCTTTGCTGCCAAATAACTTTTCCTGCTACCCTGCAAGTTAATCTTTCCAAAGCGGCTCCTAAGGGGGTTAATACTTCAAAATACACATGCAGAAGGAGAGTCTCACCCAGATCTGAAGCACGTTCACTGGTATTTTCCGCGTATTACAAAGTCGCTGCCAGTACACAGCGAGTAAAGCTGTAATTAGCTGAGGTGTTCAGAATTGTTCTCTCATTTTTAGCTAACTGAGTGATAATTAGTAACATTTGTTTATCTATAATTAGCAACATTTAGAATATATTCTACGTGCACTCATTTCTCTTCTGGCCTGACAGATTCAATATACTTTTTTTCCTGGTGATTCTCTTTAGTACCCTGGGGCCTGGTAATAAACATCTCTCCTAACTGAAGGTATCATAATACCTGGCCACAAAAGAGATTAATAGGCCTCAAAACATGTGTAGTCCAACCTTGTGGAATGATCCATGATCACACACACCCCCCCCTCGCCCCCCCCCTGTGCTTTCTGGCACTGAAAGTCAAATGTAAAAGAAAAATAAAGTTCAATTAAACTGGAGGTTCTGGTTATGTGAATTCCAGTTTGGTGACATCAAACTATTACTGGGTCCACTCTATTGGAACATCAGAGGCCTATCTGCACAGCACTATCATGGCTCTCGGGAATTCATTCCTATCCCACAAGACCCTCTGAGTCATGCTCTGAACAAGACATTTAAAATTCATCTTACATTTTTTCTATGTTCTTGTAAAACTGATGCTAAAGTTAGCAGAATAGAAAGACTGAAGATTGTCGAGCTGCGTAAGACAATATAACTGGTGTTTTCCAGGCTCTAGGCTGGACATGTGTCTGAAGCTTTCAACTTCCTTTGGGCTTTGATAGCAGCACTATGGATGGCCTTGAGAAGAATGGGAATTCCAGAGCACTTCACTTGCGCATGTGGAACTCGTACTGGATCAAGAGGTAGTTGTGCGAATAGAACAAGAGAATACTGCATGGTTTTCAACAGGGTTGTATCCCCTCACCATACTTATCCAGCCTGTATATTGAGCAAATAATCAGAGAAACGAGATAATATGAAAAAGTATGCGGCATCAAGATTGGAGGAAGGCTTATTAACAACCTGCAATAGCACAACTTTACTTGCTGAAAGCAAGGAGGACTTGAAGCACTTGCTGATGAAGGTCAAGGATTGCAGCCTTCAGTATGGATTGCAACTCAATGTAAAGAAGACCAACATCCTCACATTGGACAACACCATAAAAAGAAATAACAAGTTGTCAAGGACTTTGTCTTGCTTGGATCCACAATCAATGCTCATGGGAGCAGCAGTCAAGAGATCAAATGACACTTTGCATTGGGTAAATCTGTTGCACAAGATGTCTTTAGAGTATTGAAAAGCAAGGCTGTTATTTGGAGAACTAAAAAGAGTATTGAAAAGCAAGGCTGTTATTTGGAGAACCTGACCCAAGCTATGGTATTTTCATTGTCTCACATGCATGTGAAATTTGGACATTAGATAAGGAAAACTGAAGAAGAATTGATGGATTTGAATTGTGGTGCGGGCAAAGAAAACAAAGTACATTGAACTAACTGCCAAAAGGACAAACAAATCTGTATTGAAGAAGTACAGCCAGAGTGCTCCTTAAGAGGCAAGGATGGCGAGACTTTGTCTTACCTACTTAGGACATGTTGTCAGGAGAGACCAGTCCTTGGTAAAGCAGAGGGGCAGTGACAAAGAGGAAGGGCTTTCACAAGATGGACTGAACAGTGACTGCCCCAATGAGCTCACGCAGGGGACAATTGTGAGGAGGGTGCAAGACCAAGCAGTGTCGGACTCTCTTGCCCAAGGCCGCGATGGGTCAGAACTGCCTTGATGGCACATAACCACCACCACGACATTTTCTTTCCACCACCGTAAGAGTCCATATTTCTCCACTAACTTCTTTGGCTAAGCCTGTACATGGAATAGCATGGTCACACACTTCGACTTAGGTTCAAACCTGGAGCCTGCAACTCCCGACCCAGTGACGTAGACAACATTACTTACCTGCTGTGAGTGGGTGATATGGGGTAGACACTGACAAGCTCATGTGATCCTGAGAGGAGTAAGGGAGAAGCTGTACTGCTAAGAAGCTTCCAGAGGGTTTGGCAAGTGGCAAGTGTTTTCACGAGTAATCAGCCCCTTATCTCCCAACTTGTGGGCTCTTCCATAAAGGTGCTGGATGTCACAAGCCCACAGTGTGGCTGAGTCTGGACGGAGGTAAAGAGAGCACTCTGAGGTCAGCTGACTTGGCTCTGCATTTAGGAGCAGTGGATCCTCGCCGAGTCACTGAACCTTTCTCAGTCTGAATTTCCCCATCTGTATGCAACTGGGGGGAAATGCATGTTTTCATAGTGAAAATTAATGAGATTATACAGAAAGGTCTTGCCTCACTGCCTAGTCCACCATAAGGCGTCATAGTGGTGGAGGGTATTTTGAGACCTCTCCCATTCCTTGCACAATGTGAAAAACTAGGTTTCTATGTCCTCGGGGCTCTGCTCGTACCTACCACTGGCAGGAAAAGCAAACCTATGTCCACCAGCTCCTGAGAGGCACAGTGACCGGCAGCAGCAAAGCCTGGTACTGCCGCTTGTGAGCCGAAGAGGTGTCTTCAGGTGAGTTGCC